GCGGAATAAGCTGCGCTATATAAATACCAATAATAATAATAATAATAATAATATAGTACTGGAAGGCTGAGTTCACTTCTTGCACATGCTGAGTCAGGGTACGATAGCCAGACCTACCCTCTTTGGTCAAAAAAATCACTTACCTGGTTCACAATTTGAAGGCCTGGTCAGGCTAGCTCCTCATGTCTTGCATGGTTGTTGGTTGGATAAGCTGTGCGTGTGACCATGGAGTCCTTAAATATGGCCGCCCCCACAGAGCAGGGCTAAGTCAGTGGGTGCTCTAAACCAAGGTATTTATTTATATGTTTGCATTATATTACATAAAAAAATTAATAAGTATTTGTTACCCTACGCCAACCTCTGAATGACGATTCCATTATTTTTAGGCGAATGGCGATGCCATTTCTATCGTCACCACCATGTAGTTTGTAAGCTCACAAGATCAGGGTCCTCAATCCTTCTCTGCCACTTTGTAGCTCTGTGTTAGCTGCATTAATAGTATTGGTAGCCTTAGTAATAAGTGATAATACTCTGTCCCCCATCATACAGTACGTCTGATCCATACTTTATGGCGAGATGTAAGTCATCCTTTTATCACTGTGTTAATAAATGTTTTAGTTTTAATCCGTGCAGTTAGTGAGGCTCGCAGAGTGCAGTCTAGCTCAATGTGTACGATTTGCTGTGTTACTGCAGTGCAGCCCAGTGAATCTAACGCCACAGAGTCTGCAGGAATCAGCCACATGCTCAAATCAGTCTGCACCTATTTACAGTAATAACTTCAAGTATGTGGATAGAGCGCAGTAACGGACACGGGAGGCTTTTTTGTGTGATCTTTGATGGTTTGGTTATTGACCAGGGATCGCTTGTATTTGGAGGTAACCGAAGGGGGCAGTGGGGAGATCTGGAATTGGGGATGAGGCAGAGAGTAGATTGGAAAATCCTCATCTATTTTAGAAACAGGACTACTTACCTGAATCGATTGTTTGGGACTAATTAAACATTATCAGTGGAATAAAACCTATTTAAAGAGATTAAACAACTCAGTAAATGTTATACATGTCTTGGTCTTTATCAGACCACTTTATCAGTGAGATCAATGACATTATCTTAACCTGTATATAATAAAACGTTTATTGGCTACGTTCGGTAGCATTAAGCGATCTGAGGACCCACGCCAATCTGCTTTTGTGTGTGAGAAGAGAGGGGGCGGCTCCTAAAAAGGCCAATATATCTGCTCACGTTTAGAGGGGCTGCATTAATGTTTCACTGCTAATTAATGTTTCACCACAGTAACTGGAAAAATAAAATATTTCATGAATGATTCCCACTAATATGTTTTATTACAACAATCATCCTGCTATTTTTATTTGACATAATGTGCTAAAATATTAATGTTAAAACGATTGAACTCGATATTATGATGTAAACTTCTGACTATATATATATAGAATAAACACTGCCGAAAATGTGACATAGTAACTGATAGGGCTGCCTTTCTGATGTGCATCTATACAATATATTATATTAGACTTAATTTGCCCATCATGCCCCAATCTATAACCACATGGTAATATGCACCCATCATGAACACTGACATCCCTTCATAGACTAAACACTGAACCCACAAACTGAACAGTGAACCCCAACCCAGACTCTCTCTCTCTAGACTGAACACTGAACCCTGCAGCTCTCCATAGACTGAACATTGAACCCTGCAGCTCTCCATAGACTGAGCACTGAACCCTGCAGCTCTCCATAGACTGAACACTGAACCCTGCAGCTCTCCATAGACTGAACACTGAACCCAGCAGCTCTCTATAGGCTGAACCCTGAAACCTGCAGCTCTCCATAGACTGAACATTGAACCCTGCAGCTCTCCATAGACTGAACACTGAACCCTGCAGCTCTCTATAGACTGAACACTGAACCCTGCAGCTCTCCATAGACTGAACACTGAACCCTGCAGCTCTCCATAGACTGAACACTGAACCCTGCAGCTCTCCATAGACTGAATACTGAACCCTGCAGCTCTCCATAGACTGAACACTGAACCCTGCAGCTCTCCATAGACTGAATACTGAACCCTGCAGCTCTCAATAGACTGAACCCTGAACCCTGCAGCTCTCCATAGACTGAATACTGAATCCTGCAGCTCTCAATAGACTGAACCCTGCAGCCCTCCATATACTGAACCCTGAACCCCGCAGCTCTCCATAGACTGAATACTGAACCCTGCAGCTCTCCATAGACTGAACATTGAACCCTGCAGCTCTCCATAGACTGAACACTGAACCCAACAGCTCTCTATAGGCTGAACCCTGAACCCTGCAGCTCTCCATAGACTGAATACTGAACCCTGCAGCTCTCAATAGACTGAACCCTGCAGCTCTCCATAGACTGAACATTGAACCCTGCAGCTCTCCATAGACTGAATACTGAACCCTGCAGCTCTCAATAGACTGAACCCTGCAGCTCTCCATAGACTGAACCCTGAACCCTGCAGCTCTCCATAGACTGAACCCCTGCAGCTCCATAGACTGAACCCTGCAGCTCTCCATAGACTGAACACTGAACCCTGCAGCTCTCCATAGACTGAGAACCCCTCAGCTCTCCATAGACTGAACACTCTGAACCCTGCAGCTCTCCATAGACTGAAGAACCCTGCAGCTTTCCATAGACTGAATACTGAACCCTGCAGCTCTCCATAGACTGAAGACTGAACCCTGCAGCTCTCCATAGACTGAACACTGAACCCTGCAGATCTCCATGCCATCTCCATGACTGAATTGCAGCTCCTCCATAGCAGCTCCATAGACTGAACACTGAACCCTGCAGCTCTCCATAACCCTGCAGCTCTCCATAGACTGAACACTGAACCCAGCAGCTCTCTATAGGCTGAACCCTGAACCCTGCAGCTCTCCATAGACTGAATACTGAACCCTGCAGCTCTCCATAGACTGAATTCTGGACCCTGCAGCTCTCCATAGACTGAATACTGGACCCTGCAGCTCTCCATAGACTGAATACTGAACCCTGCAGCTCTCCATAGACTGAATACTGGACCCTGCAGCTCTCCATAGACTGAACACTGAACCCTGCAGCTCTCCATAGACTGAACACTGAACCCAGCAGCTCTCTATAGGCTGAACCCTGAAACCTGCAGCTCTCCATAGACTGAACACTGAACCCTGCAGCTCTCCATAGACTGATAGACAACAATGTTCCATTTTTATAACTTGAAAAGCCTTTGTTTTTCTCTGACTTTGAAGCACGTTCCTCGCTGTAAAATTAATCAGAGCTGGGAGGGGCGCGTGGAATTTATTCTAAATAATCTCTGCTCTCCTCGGCTGAAACTGTTAGACTGAAGGTCACATGGGCCGCACTTAGACTGCGGTAACGGCACAGAAACACAGCCATCACTTTGTGCTCTCCGCCTTGAAAGACATTGTTACCAACAAGAAATTGCATGAAAGGGATCAGAAAAATGAACTCTGCATGTCTTTCCCAATCTCGCCCCATCCCTCCCAGGGACAAAATCAACAAATAAACTATTTCACTTCCAGTAACCGTATGTTGTGTGTATATATATATTTACTCAGTATGTGTCAAACCAATGAATTCCATTTTGTCTCTCTGGTCAGAATACAAGTCACTATCACAGTGACTGCAAGGGTTCCTTTTGAGTTTTTTTCTTACATAAAACCTTTATTAAAAACTTGTTATTTGTTAGTTTTCGTAAATCGAGTGATGTCATAGGACTATATAGGGATGACGTCGCCGTAAGGGCGAGACAATTTTTGGCAAAATTTAAGAAGAAGCAAATTCGAGTTCCACTCGCAGCATTTTGATATTTCCCATCAGCTGTGACTTGCAGAGATAAATTTATCTTAATATTTTATCTTTTATGCATTTAACTAAAAGTAAGTTTTAAAAAGTAAGGTTTTAAATCTAGCCCTGTCTCCATTCCGAGATCAATGTGTGACCATATTCACTGTTCTTTGTGCAGTTACATAAACATCTTGTGTATTTTATACGTCTTAGTAACTTGGTTGTAGACTGTACACCTTTAGAGTGCAAGCTCACGTGATCAGGGCTGCAATCCTGTCTTGATTCTGTTAATCCTCTATTATTATAATTATTATGTAAGATAAAAGATGACGTGTGCTGTAGTCTCTGTGTGTATTATTTAGTAATGCATATATAAAAGTTAATGTCCCTTTTCAGTCCATTTCCTGGCTTATTTTTGGGGGCTGCAGCCCTCTTGGATCAAACGCACAACGCATCATCCCTACGCAGCTAAACATTTATCACAAGCCAGAGTGCCAACATGAATCCTGGAATCATGCACAAGCACAGGGCGTCTAAAAACCTATTCTGGGTCAATTTCTGACCTTCAAATTGTGTCTGGTGATACTTTGAACTAAAGAAGGATAAAGATGGCAGCCCACATGGGTCAGGCGTAAGACAAGATAAAACATAAAACTGACTTTGATGCTTTCAGACGCCCCTTTTAGCAAAAATGTGATTTGTTTTATAGAAAAACCCAAAAGGAAATAAAGCAGATTGTCAGTAGGGTGTTAATAATTCTGATTCACCGCTATCACATGTTACTCAGGGTGTAATATGTTATTACTGGAGATGTGATCAGGACAACTCATTTTATCATTAGTGATAATAACCACAACGCCTACATTACTGAGAACGACTTCCACAGAGTGTCTCACCATCTGCTCCCAGCAGAGAGAGATAGGATGACATTGGTAGGAGTTTCTCATAGTTGGAGAAAACAAACTGATGGGTGAGGTGGTGGGAATTAAACGCGAAGCAGACCGTTAGCACCAGGCTGGTGGACAATGGCAGCAACCATGATCAATAGCAAGAGGAGCCATATCACCAGCCCACAGTGATATATACACTCAGTAATCACCCTCTACCTGCCACACATTTTAATGTCACCTTTCTCGTCCCATTAGGAAGTCCAAGACCTCCTGCTGGTAAAAATGAAAGAGTTAGATAACATTCAGAAGGCGAACCTGGGTCTGAGATCCGAGTTGGATGTTTTGAAATCATTATTGGAAGAGGAAGAGGAACAGTGAGTGAAATTCTGCATTATGGATTTAATTTTACATTATGTTTACACCTGTATTACTCTGTAATTCTAGCAGGTATATGACACCTGTATTATCTACACTGGTATTATCTACACCTATAGCAGAGCTATAACACCGTTATAATCTACACCGGTATTATTAAGGATTCTAGCAGAGATAGGACACCTGTATGATCTACACCTGTATTATTAGGGATTCTAGCGCAGATACAACACCTGTATGATCTACACCTGTATTATTAGTGATTCTAGCAGAGATATTACACCTGTATGATCTACACCTGTATTATTAGTGATTCTAGCAGAGATATGACACCTGTATGATCTACACCTGTATTATTAGGGATTCTAGCGCAGATACAACACCTGTATGATCTACACCTGTATTATTAGTGATTCTAGCAGAGATATTACACCTGTATGATCTACACCTGTATTATTAGTGATTCTAGCAGAGATATGACACCTGTATGATCTACACCTGTATTATTAGGGATTCTAGCGCAGATACAACACCTGTATGATCTACACCTGTATTATTAGTGATTCTAGCAGAGATATGACACTGTAAGGATCTACAGGTGATTGTAGCAGAGATATGACACCTGTATGATCTACACCTGTACTATTAGCAGGATTGTAGATATGGCACCTGTAAGGATCTACACCTATTATTAGGGACTTAGCAGATATAAGGACACCTGTATGATCTACACCTGTATTATGAGTGATTCTAGCAGAGATATTACACCCGTATGATCTACACTGTATTATTAGGGATTCTAGCAGATATATGACACCTGCAAGGATCTACACCTGCATATTAGTGATTGTAGCAGAGATATGACACCTGTATGATCTACACCTGTATTATTAGTGATTGTAGCAGAGATATGACACCTCTATGATCTACTAACCTATATTATTAGTGATTGTAGCAGAGATATGACACCTGTATGATCTACACCTGTATTATTAGGATTTAGCAGAGATAGTGGACACCTGTATGATCTACACCTGTATTACTAGGACTTAGCAGAGATATAACACCCGTATGATCTACACCTGTATTATGAGGATTCTAGCAGAGATGACACACCCGTAAGGATTCACACCTGTATTGTCAGATGGATTCTAGCAGAGATGTGACACCTGGGTAAGATCTACACCTGTATTATTAGGGATTCTTAGCAGAGATGTGACACCTGTATGATCTACACCTGTGTATTAGGACTTCTAGCAGATACATGACAACTGCATGATCTACACCTGCATTATTAGGATTCTACAGATGTGACACCTGTATGATCTACACCTGTATTATGAGTGATTCTAGCAGAGATGTGACACCTGTATGATCTGTCCCTGTATTATTAGATGGATTCTAGCAGAGATATGACACCTGCATGATCTACACCTGTATTGTTAGATGGATTCTAAAGAGAGACATGACACCCGTATGATCTAATAATCTGTATTATTAGATGGATTCTACAGAGATATAACACCTGTATGATCTACACCTGTATTATTAGGGATTCTAGCAGAGATATAACACCTGTATGATCTGCACCTGTATTATTAGGGATTCTAGCAGATATATGACACTTGTATGATCTACAGGTATTAGTGATTGTAGCAGAGATATGGCACCTGTATGATCTACACCTGTATTATTAGGGATTCTAGCAGATATATGACACCTGTATGATCTACACCTGTATTATGAGTGATTCTAGCAGAGATATTACACCTGTATGATCTACACCTGTATTATTAGGGATTCTAGCAGATATATGACACCTGTATGATCTACACCTGTATTATTAGTGATTGTAGCAGAGATATGACACCTGTATGATCTACACCTGTATTATGAGTGATTCTAGCAGAGATATGACACCTGTATGATCTACACCTGTATTATTAGTGATTGTAGCAGAGATATGACACCTGTATGATCTACACCTATATTATTAGTGATTGTAGCAGAGATATGACACCTGTATGATCTACACCTGTATTATTAGTGATTGTAGCAGAGATATGACACCTGTATGATCTACACCTGTATTATTAGTGATTCTAGCAGTGATATTACACCTGTATGATCTACACCTGTATTATTAGATGGATTCTAGCAGAGATATGACACCTGTATGATCTACACCTGTATTATTAGTGATTCTAGCAGTGATATTACACCTGTATGATCTACACCTGTATTATTAGTGATTGTAGCAGAGATATTACACCTGTATGATCTACACCTGTATTATTAGTGATTCTAGCAGAGATATTACACCTGTATGATCTACACCTGTATTATTAGTGATTGTAGCAGAGATATGACACCTGTATGATCTACACCTGTGTTATTAATTATTGTAGCAGATATATTACACCTGTATGATCTACACCTGTATTATTAGTGATTCTAGCAGTGATATTACACCTGTATGATCTACACCTGTATTATTAGTGATTGTAGCAGAGATATGACACCTGTATGATCTACACCTGTATTATTAGTGATTGTAGCAGAGATATGACACCTGTATGATCTACACCTGTATTATTAGTGATTGTAGCAGAGATATGACACCTGTATGATCTACACCTGTATTATTAGTGATTGTAGCAGAGATATTACACCTGTATGATCTACACCTGTATTATTAGATGGATTCTAGCAGAGATATTACACCTGTATGATCTACACCTGTATTATTAGTGATTGTAGCAGAGATATGACACCTGTATGATCTACACCTGTATTATTAGATGGATTCTAGCAGAGATATGACACCTGTATGATCTACACCTGTATTATTAGTGATTGTAGCAGAGATATGACACCTGTATGATCTACACCTGTATTATTAGATGGATTCTAGCAGAGATATTACACCTGTATGATCTACACCTGTATTATTAGGGATTCTAGCAGAGATATGACACCTGTATGATCGACACCTGTATTAATAGATGGATTCTAGCAGAGATATGACACCTGTATGAGCGACACCTGATGACACTTGTCTCTATATTATGTATTTATGTCTCGGAGATTGTTTTTTAAGGTTACTGCTTTCAGTGGGTCCTTGATTCTGTTTAATAATTGTTGTTTCTGTTCCCAGGATGAGTAATACCCGGATGCAGAGCCCCCTAATCCCACACCCATCGCACCCTCTGACAAATTCATTCCCCTCGTCAATGTATAGCGCAGCCTCTGAATTTGCTAAATCCTGTCTGCTTGATTCGTCGGAGACCTTTACTCCATTAAACTCAGGAGACTCTTCCGAAACACTCAAATCCTCTACATCAGCCGCAGGTTATTGGGATTTACAAAAACCTAAGGAAATGTTTGTCTTCAGCCTTTATTCTTACACACAATGAATATTACATCACTATATCTCTCCGTATTGATAAGCTTCTAATATAAATGCAGCATGTAATAAATGCCAGTATTAGATCAAACCTGTAGTAAGTATAGAACTCGTTCGGGAATCATGAGGAATTGATCATATGTTTGACAGCCAGCAGGGGGCACTCTAAGTGCCATAAAACTGGCCCTTATTCAGCTTACACTCCTAGAGACTTTGTTACGGGGGAACTTGTTTATTGCAACATGATAGACAAATGTAATGATACTTAGTGGCCACTTTATTTTGTTTTTAGAATATTGAATAAAGTATGTTTTATGTTATATTGATCTATTTAAAGAATCATCTATTAAGATATTTTACATTTTGATTCAGTACCAGCGCCCTCCATCTCCTTAGATATATATTTTGGGCTGTATTTCTCTTTAGGAGTCGCAGGTTATTTTATTTTCATTTTATTTCACGATTGCATTTATTCAGCTCCAAGTACCATAGCCACTATAGTTCATTGCAGTGGTTGTGGTGCTATGTCTTTGGGTGCTGTGCCCTGGTTTACAGTCAAACCAGATTCATGTTAACCAGTCCCAGCACTCTAAGCCAGTAATTGCTTTCCATGTCGGAGAGTTTCACACTGTGATGTGTCTGCATTATGTGTTCCGCTGCAGAAACTCCAATTTGACCCCAAACGAGGCATGGCGCCCATACTATCATAGCACCATAACCACTTCCCATGTTTTTAGCTATGGTGCTAAGATGCCGAGTACTTTAATATCTGGTGGGAAAAAGGTGAAAGTAATACACCATGATTTTTATATATCAATTTGTACAAAATAATGGAGTTTTGTAGGTTTAAGTTGCTGTAATAGATGTCAATGTCAAGCAATCTAAAATATATTTTAATTTTGATTGTTCACAAGTTGTATTGGACATAAAACCCATTTTTATTTAACCGACTAAGTGATATATGTTAATATATAGAGATACCCAATGACAGGGTATTATATACAGATACTATTTATACAATATGTTGGTGTGACAATCACCTCACATGTATCTGCCCGGGTTCCTGTCAAACTAATTAATACATAGCCAAGAATGAGACAACTTGCAGATCTTACAGATAAAACGTCTATTGGAAAATCCCAAAATAACGTCAACGTTTCAACCTCTTGGGATTGTTGTCAGTAACCGTACAGAGTGCGTGTTTTATTGGAAACGTTGTCACTGTTCTGGGTAGAATGGTTGTTATCGGCCATCTCGCTGCATCTATTCTGATATGATTTATTTACAGACATTAACCAGCATTTATTCCCATTTAGAAGATAAACACAGTGAGCACAGAGAGTCCCTCCAGCGGATGGACCCGCCGCCATTACTCAATGGCCTCTCTCTGGGGGAAGGCGAAGTACGAGACTCAATAACCTCAATGAAGAAGACCTCAAGTTCAAAGATTATCAACAAAAACTCACACCAGGCCGATACCGACCACAAATCCGCCACAGCAAGGTACGTCCTCTGTTAATTAGCATCTCTCCGTTTATTAAGCGTGCATTAAAAATGCCATGTACCATGAAACAGCGTAAGACCACCAAGTCCAAACGTTCATGTTCCCCGAATCTGCTGTTGATGCAAAACAAGTGAAAAACAATCTTGGGGCAATTTTAAATTAAGTTGGAAAAGGGAAAATCGTTCTTGATTCTATAGTGCTCCTACATGTTCTCCTCAGGTTAACAGACGTAGCGTTAGATTCTGCCCATGGCCCAGTGGGAGTCCACATCCTAATCATCATCAAATATATTAAGAAACACATTATATGAGAAATTAAATCTACTTTAAATAAAGGTGTTTCAGACTTGTTTTAGTTAAAGAAACTGTATTTAAAAAATAATAATGTTTAGATTGTCTGCTCTCTGTATCTCTCTGATAGAACTCTGACTCTGATCTCACCCATCTATATCCATCAGCACGGCCAGAGTACCAGGCTGGCTATAAATAAATGGTAACTTTCTATCTGAGATAAATCTAGGAAATAAATTATATTCTGAGAATCTGCCCTATTACCCTGAGACTTCATGAATTACACTTCTTTATATCGGTCAAGGGAGACAAGAACCCCTATAATTTCCTTTTGGACCGATCTCATATAATGGGGAGAATGAAATTAAATATAATACTAATTGGCTGATTACACAAGGGTCGCAGAATTTTGCTGGTTTTCTGCTTTTTGGGGTGATACAGCATTGAGTTATTCTTTACAGCTTTGATAGAAAGGGGCTTGTTCATGAATTAGCATTGGATTTCCAAGAGTGGGTGCGCAGTAACATCACAAAATATAATTTTATTTAAATAATTTAATTTGCCCGAGACAACCGGTACCCCGGCCCTCAGTTTTTTCCATTTTTGTTGTATAGTATTTATCTGTTCTTCGTTTGAATAAAGACAACGGATGAAAGTAGCAATGCAGTCTAAACATAACGAATCCGGAACATATCTTGTAATGTACTTATATATGAATGTTAGCACCTGGAAAACTAATGGGCTCTTGCACGTGCCGCACCTTGTACATTGTGTACTCAATACCGTTGCAAAATAAAGAATTATAATAATAAATAATTTAATTTGCTCCCCAGAGAAGAATGATAACCGATCTGAAAGAAGAAAAGTTACCCCTAAACTCCAAACTCACATCAGCACAATCTATTTAAAAATAACCTAATTATAACCTAGTTATAATTTACTAATTCATATTAAAGCCTTAATTATAAATACTTTGTGATGGTAGAAATGCTGGATTATGGATGATGGATTTAATGTCACATAACGGTCCGCTCTGTTGTAGTGAATTAAACTATGTATCTAAAATGGATAATGAAGTGAATGTTGAAGGACCACTATAGTGCCAGGAAAACATACGCGTTTTCCTGGCACTATAGTGCCCTGAGGGTGCCCCTCCCACATGGGCTCTGGGGAGAGGAAACTTACCTTTTTTCCAGCGCCGGGTGGGGAGCTCTCCTCCTCCTCTCCGCCTCTGATCCTCCTCTTCAGCTTTCCTATGGACGCTGGTGTCTTCTCACTGTGATTTTCACAGTGCGAATCACGCAAGCGCCTCTAGCGGCTGTCAATGAGACAGCCACTAGAGGCTTTAGAGGCTGGATTAACCTATTTATAAACATAGCAGGTTATCTGAAACTGTTATGTTTATTAAAAAAAAGGGTTAATCCTAGAGGGACCTGGCACCCAGACCACTTCATTAAGCTGAAGTGGTCTGGGTGCCTAGAGCGGTCCTTTAAGTGGTGGGTCTGTCTGTTTGCTTGCACCATGTCTTGACTCATGGTTACATGTTCCTCATTTTGGGATGTGAGGATGAAATAATCAAAACTGATACAGATGGCAAGTATAAACTACATAAATCGTCTGATATGGTCACATCACCCTCAGTCAGCCATTATGTCAAAGTGCTGCAATTGTGGTGAGTGTTTTGCCAAACGGCGCCTAAGGCTGGGTTATCATAAATTAAATAATGATATTCTAGTTGTTACTGACAGGGAAAGGGTTATATTATTATTATATTTGGGCTCTGTTGTCTTTAACGTGTGATTAGAGATATCCACATACAGGTATATGATTTGCTTGACCTTTGCCATGTAACTTGCGGAGACTGTAACTTCTAGTCTTCATCACAGATTTGGTGTTTTATGGACAAGCACACAATTCATACGGTTGTGGCTCACTCAGCATTATGGGAGTTGTAATTTCCTCAAGGATGGACAGTATACTTTTCTGGTTAGTCCAATATCACCTTATGAGATCTTAATGTCCTGTGCTGCCCCCTACTGGCCTTTGTATTAGCGTTGGATGGATCATTGAATTCTTTCTCTGGTTACATTGAATAGATTAGTGCCAGGCTCTGCTCTCTGCAGAGGGAGTGGTTTATTTTTTTTAAAGCCAATTATATCAAACATTATAATGGCACAGCATTGGATTAAATCTATTATACAAAAATAAGTCCTGGGCAGCAGCAATGACCATACTACACATCAGTCCCAACACATACAATAAAACCAAAGAAAATAGTTACTTGCTCACTTAGATGTAAGCCCACCGGCCACGCCAAGGCAAACCTCTTAGGTGGGTCCTACACTAACATTCACCTTGCTGCTTTTAGCTTCAAGTAAAAAAAAATAAGTAGGTAGGGGTTTAGATAAATACCCCTCTCTGTCTCATTAGAAATTTTTTACCTGAAGCTGAAAGTAGCGAGGTGAATGGTTAGTATAGGATCCACCTAAGAGGTTTGCCTTGAAATGGCAGGTGAGCTTGCAATCTAATGGCCATTGGAGTCATACTAAAACTGTAATTACCTTAACAAAGATGGAGGCTCCCACAAAAGATAATCCCATGTTTCAATTTATTTTTTATAAATATCTCCAATTTTAGCTCTTATGTAGCATTATATGTGGGGTCACCAAGACAGTCAGGAGAACACAGAGAGTTTAAATGCTGGGTACTTAGTCATAGGCTGGGCAGGGGTTGGAAAGGATCAGCATATAATACTTTATAGTCACAGGTAAAGCAGCAGATTGTTTTACGGCTCTTGTTTTTTTATCGTTTAATACACGTTTTTCTACTTTATCATAAAATATTTCCAGTTATTAGCATCTATCATTCTCCCTCGTATTAGTGGAAATAAAGGTAATAATTTTGTTGTATCTCCTGTCTCTCCCTGTGTGGACTCATAGCTCTCTTGGGAACCTGAAGATTGCAGAAGTAAATGGCAAGTTTGTACGAATCATTAACGCTTCTCCTGAAGAAGAGGAGGACATTGGGGGTTACATCCTCCAGCAGAACGTCTGTGGGCATCCAGTATCTGTCTACCGATTCCCACCCAAGATCCGCATCACGGCAGGCTGTGCGGTGACGGTGAGAATATAGGGAGATTGAGGTGGGATTCTGTAATCAGAAAATGAACAATGCTTTTAATGCAGAGTCCTGAGAATAATGTAATTACATCAGCTGTCATTTCTCTTTGTGTCTAGTACTTCTCAAAGCCGAGGGCATGTTTAATTCTTTCGCTGATGTATTGACATATTTTGCTTTTATGAGTACAATTCATGCTGTCTCTGTAAGGTTACAATAAATGCTGCTGTGGCTCCCGTGCATACTGTCCCTCTAATGCTCACGTGCACATTGTCCCTCTGTGGCTCCAGAGCATACTGTCCCTCTAAGCTTCATGTTTATACTGTCTCTCTAAGACTCTTATCCAAACTGTCCCTCTAAGACTCCTATCCAAACTGTCCCTCTAAGACTCCTATCCACCGGTCCCTCTAAGACTCCTATCCAAACTGTCCCTCTAAGACTCCTATCCACCTGTCCCTCTAAGACTTCTATCCAAACTGTCCCTCTAAGACTATGGATAAATTCCTTAGAGGGACGGTATGAATGAGAGCCTTAAAGGGAGAATATGTATAGGAATCTTAGAGGGACAGTGTAAATATGAAACTTAGAGGGACAATATGCACTGGAGTTGCAGAGGGTCAATGTGCACGTGAGTATTAGAGGGACAGTATGGATAGGAGTCTTAGAAGGACAGTATGGATAGGAGTCTTAGAGAGACAGTATAAACATGAAGCTTAGAATGACAGTATGGATAGGAACCTTAGAGGGACAGTTTAAATAGGAGTTTTAGAGAGAAAGTATAAACGTGAAGTTTAGAGGGACAGTATGGATGGGAGTCTTAGAGGAACAGTATAGATAGGAACCTTAGAGGGACAGTTTGGGTAGAAGTCTTAGAGGGACAGTTTGGATAGGAGTCTTAGAGAGACAGTATAATCATGACGCTAAGAGGGACAATATGCATGGGAGCCTTAGAGAGACAGTATAAACGTGAAACTTAAAGGGACAGTATGGATAGGAGCCTTGGAGGGACAGTTTGGATAGGAGTCTTACAGGGACAGTATGGATACTGTCCCTGTAAGACTCCTATCCAAACTGTCCCTCCAAGGCTCCTATCCATACTGTCCCTTTAAGTTTCACGTTTATACTGTCTCTCTAAGGCTCCCATGCATATTGTCCCTCTTAGCGTCATGATTATACTGTCTCTCTAAGACTCCTATCCAAACTGTCCCTCTAAGACTTCTACCCAAACTGTCCCTCTAAGGTTCCTATCTATACTGTTCCTCTAAGACTCCCATCCATACTGTCCCTCTAAACTTCACGTTTATACTTTCTCTCTAAAACTCCTATTTAAACTGTCCCTCTAAGGTTCCTATCCATACTGTCATTCTAAGCTTCATGTTTATACTGTCTCTCTAAGACTCCTATCCATACTGTCCTTCTAAGACTCCTATCCATACTGTCCCTCTAATACTCACGTGCACATTGACCCTCTGCAACTCCAGTGCATATTGTCCCTCTAAGTTTCATATTTACACTGTCCCTCTAAGATTCCTATACATATTCTCCCTTTAAGGCTCTCATTCATACCGTCCCTCTAAGGAATTTATCCATAGTCATTCTCTAAGTATCATTACTTAAAATCTCTCTTTTAAGACTCCCTTTCATATACGCTCCAGTCTAATAGGTTCCTCTACTAACCCATCCATAATATCCCTTTAAAGAGACACTATAGTCACCAAAACAACTTAGCTTAATGCAACAGTTTTGGTGTATAAATAGATCATGCCTCTGTAGTCTCACTGCTCAATTCTCTGCCATTAAGGAGTTAAATCACTGTTGTTTATGCAGCCCTAGGCACACCTCCCTGCATGTGACTTACACAGCCTTCCTAAACACTTCCTGTAAAGATTAATCTAATGTTTACACTTCCTTTATTGCAAATTCTGTTTAATTTAGAATTGCTTATCCCCTGCTATGTTAATAGCTTGCTAGACCCTGCAAGAGCCTCCTGTGTATGATAAAAACATTTCAATTAAGCTACATCTGATTGAAAATGAAGCTATTTTGTTTTCATGCACGCTGTGTCAGTCACTGCCAGAGGAGGTGTTGCTGTCCCTTTAAGGATTTTATCCATACTGTCCCTTTAAAGCTCAGATTTTTATTGTCATTCTAAGTCTCCTGTTCTTACAATCCCTCTAAGGCTCTCATTCATTATGTCCCACATGTAATGTTCCTTTATGGCTTTCATTCACACCATCCCTATAAACCTCCCATTCATTCTGTCTTTCTAATAATCTATCAATATAAGTTTGTAATCCATGCTGCCATCTATACCAGTTCTCCCATTCTGGTGACTTAATAGCGGGAGCAGATTGCTGTAATCACACACAGTGCTCTATGTTACATTCTATAATAACAGGAAATAAAATGATATTGCTTGATTGGCAGGTATGGGCAGCCACAGCAAACGCCCCTCACAATCCGCCATCTGACTTCCTGTGGAAGGAGCTGAAAACGTTTATCACTGAACGACGTTGTACCACCATCCTGAGCAACGCCAATGGCCATGTGAGTCTTTCTTCATTTAAAAATAAAATGGAAGGGATGTTTTTCACCCCTCAAATAGAATTAGTTAGCGGGAGAGTTCTGTAGGAATAAAGCATTGTGATGCAGGAGCCATATAATCAGCGTGTAAGAGAGCGCCCGGGAGAGTTGGTATTTTGGTATGGATCACATAGACATTGCTTTATTTAATAGCTCACAAACAAACATAATCGACGTTCCTTCACTTATGATCAATACTAGTCCCCCGAGTTCTCACTTACACGATGAGTTACAACTTATTGGTCGGAGGATTTATACCAGGTGCAAGTAAGTGGAGAAACATTGAGTGCGGAACCTCAAGTTTTATATATAAATATAAATAATATAATTTGCTTGGAGAGACTTCATGTGATCGCAATAAAATACAAGCTTAAATAAATCCTGAGCGTTTCATTCGTTATTTTCAATGTCATAGGGGGTCTCAATTTACCTGAGCAGGCAGCATTGATAGCAAACCTGGAGCCTGTTCTATCCAGTGAGGGCTCTTGGAAATAGTATGGGGGCTTAAGGATGGGCTCCAAAGAAGGGGCTAAGCAGGGCCGGACTGGGGATACAAAGCAGCCCTGGAAAAAAAAATTGTGCCAGCCCCATAAGTCACTGCGCCATATATTGTCGCATGTAATATGTAAGGCTATGTCTTGCCAGGACAGATAATTGAGTAATATATATATATTGCTTTTTCTAATATAAAATATAGGTATAGGTAAAACGTTTAATTATACAGTAAGCATACGCACATGCAGACACAGGCAACTTCACTGACATTTCAGTGACACACACAAGCTCATTGATACACAGCCTCATAGACAAACAATCTTACTGATATACATCAGCTCATTGACATAAAAACACAAGCTCACTCACTAGCAGGCACACGCATGCAAGCTCACTCACTCACTAGCAGACGCACACACACAGCTTAATGTGGTGGTACTGGTGTCTATAGCATGTCGCTACAGGCTTTTCAACGTAAACACTGACTTTTCAGACAAAAGGCAGTGTTTACATTGCTTCAAAGTGACACTGCTAGTGACAGTCACTCAGACGGTCACTAGAGGTGCTTCCTGTGTTAGTGCCCTCCCACCCTCGCCCTCCACTCTTCTTATTCCCCCCTCATCTTATTCCCCCCCTCCCCTCTTCTTATCCCTCCCTCCCCTCTTCCCTCATCTTATTCCCCCCTTATCTTATTCCCCCCTCCCTCTTCTTATCCCTCCCTCCCTCATCTTCCCCCCTCCCTCATCTTGTTCCCCCCTCCCTTCATCTTGTCCCCTCCCACCCCTCTTCTTATCCCCCCATCTTATTCCCCCCCTTCTTATTCCTCCCTCCCCTCTTCTTATTCCCCTCCCTCCCCTCTTCTTATTCCCCTCCCCTCTTCTTACCCTCCCCCTTTTCTTATTCCCCCTC